CCCCCAGCAGGTTGGCCCGACAAAGGTAGGTCCTTGTGCTGTGTCCCTGTCACTGCTACAAAAACCACGCTCCCCGTTGCAGGCGTTAGTAAGTGGTCACTAAGTGGTGTCCTGATGCTATCATTTCTTTATGACCTGGCATTGTTTTGGTTTTTCCATATTGGCCATTGCAGAGCTGTTGTGTTATTTCAGGCTGCGTGAGTTGGCTGTCTCAACCTTGTACTTCGCATCAGAAAGCAGCATTTATCCAGAGGTGACACAGATGCCAGGTCTGCCTGTAAATGTGCCGCAGGGAACTGAGTTCCAGCCAGAGGCATAGCACCCTCCCTAGTCCAGGACTCGGCCATGCGGGCCTCCTTATGTCCTGCTGGTGGCCAGTGCTCCAAGCTGGGGCTCTTGGCCTGGAAGAAAGGCAGGATGGGGACTAAATAGCTTCTAGGAACTAACTGAGGGGAGAAAGAGAAGTCCCCACTTGACTGATGCAGTTAGACAGGGCACTCTGGGAAGTGAGGACTCTTCAGTGGTGGGAGCCCCCAGAAGGAGCAGGGCTGGGTTGGGGTGACTAAGGATTTCATTCCTTTCACCTCTTTTACTCAAGTCTTGTTATGTACCACGCCCTGTGCTAGCCCTGGGGATACAGCTCTAAATCAGCTGTGGGGTGTACTTTCAGGTCCCTGGTTAGGAGTGGGAGCAGCAGGGGGTGTCAGCAGAGGAATCCCTGATTTGTCACTCCAAGGCAGGATTACTTAATGCAACCATCCCTATTGATTTGGCCTTCCTTAAAGCAGCTGTTGCAGGTTTTTAGGTTTTGTTGATTAGTGTAGCATTTTTTTAAAAAGATTAATTATTGCCCACAATTTTAAATTAAACGTATCATCTGTTTGCATTTCACAAAAGAAATGTCTCTTCAGTTGCAAAAGTAGGATCAAAGATCTCATCCTAGCAGAAAGTGAGCTTGTGAAAACTGGACTCTGAAAAACTCACAGTTGTGATTCATGGCCCAGTGAAACTGCATCTTGGAAGCAGCATGCACCAGGACGGTGCTGGCTGATGTCCAGAGCGCTCCACCTCAAGTGCCTGGGTCGCACAATGAGGGCAGCCTCCATGTTGTGTCTTGTAGATTGTAACAGACCAGCAAACAGGACAGAAGATCCAGATAGTCACCGCCGTGGACGCCTCTGGATCCCCCAAGCAGCAGTTCATCCTGACCAGCCCAGATGGAGCTGGAACTGGCAAGGTGATCCTGGCTTCTCCAGAGACATCCAGTGCCAAGCAGCTTATATTCACCACCTCAGACAACCTCGTCCCTGGCAGAATCCAGGTAAGAGCAGTTGCCAGACCTTTGTTTCGCACTTTTGCTACCAGGCTAGCCTCTCTCCTCTGCATTGGAGGTTAAATCTCTTGAAGGTCCTTTGGAGACCTGCAAATGTGGCAAGTTGCTTCTGTGACAGATGTTGCTTCTGTGACAGATGTGCAAAATCAGTAAATGAGGAGTGAAGCCCAGAAGGCCTCCAGCTGCAGTGCCTGGAGGTGGGAGCTGACCCGGGAGTCAGTAGCCCACAGGAGACTGAAACAGTGGAGCTGGCACTGAGGCCCCTGGAGAACCGTTTCTGACTGAGCTACACATGCCCTAACAGCCCTTGCCTGTCATTTAGGGACCCCACCTGGGCTGACCCACACCAGTTTGTTCCAACTCATACCTTGGCCTAATCCTAGCTTTTCGTGCTGTCCTTGTTTGCTCCTTTGAACAACTGCTTCAGACCTTCGGTTCTTAACGTCATCGCTGCCCCTCATCTCCCTGCTCTGTCTTAAGTGGACAAAAGCAAAGACTTTTGGGAAGCACTGAATTCCCAAGCCCTGCATAAGACTTACAGCTGGTATCCCATGGTGCCAAGCCTAGAGCATGTTCAGTCAGGGTCACTGTGCAATCTAGGTTTTTAATTTGTAGTAAAATAACAGTGCAAAATTTACCATCTTAGTCATTTTTAGATGTGCAGTTCAGCAGCAGTAAGGACATTCACTTTGACTACTCTGGCACATATCAGTAAAATAGTATTTGTGTTTTTATGATGGACATATTTCACTTAGCCTAAGTCCTTGAAGCCCACTGTGTTACACTACGTGACAGGATCTCTGTGGTAAGGCTGAGTACCCGCCTATGTACGTGCAGGCCAGGTTCTGTTTATCCACCAGCTGGTGGTGGATGGCTTCTGTTGTTTGGCTCCTGCAAATAGTGTGACCAAAAATCATTGTGTGGTGTTTGTTATTTGTTTGTTTTGCTGGGGAAGGTGTTTGGTTGGTGACTTTATACTATGGAGAAAATTAACAAAGTAAATGATTTTTTCCTCCTGGTAGAGCTGAGTTTTGAACACCAGTGTTTTCAGTTTTCAAACTGCACTTTTGGGACATCTTTCACAGTAGTTAACAGCTGCCTCGCCCTTCCCTAAGTGCACTCTGGCCATCTGAATCAGAATTCCCCTCTATTTAGACTGTCCCTTGTTTGTGAAAGAATGGCTGTTGATTCTGTAGGTCATTCTACATAATGACTTATCCTCACTACATAATCATTTTGTGGCTTATTGTTGGGTCAAATGATAGCTGCTGTTTTTCGCTTTCTCACACTAGTGTTCATCACAGCATCCCTCCAGATATCCACAAAAATCACCTACAAACGAAGGCAAAATAGCGGGTTCTAGAGGTCTCACCTCTTCTAGTCCTGCTACCAGCTGCCTCAGTGAGAAACCTGGTTGTTTCTCTGCCAACGTTTCTCTCTGCGTACTTCTGTCCTGGGATAGAAGAGCAGCCAGAAAGACCTTCCTGTCTTCATGAGGGGAGCTTCTGTGCGTGGTTCCCTGCGTGGTCCCCAGTGGTGGTTGTAGTAGCCAGTTAGTAGTAGACCAATGACAACCAGTGCTTGACCCTGGACAGCCATATCCCTCCCCACTATCTCCAAAAAAAAATTAAAATTAAAAAGGACATAGTCTACATGAGCAACAGCACTGTTCTGGGAGTCTGATTATGTTGTCAAGTAGAATTTTCCGGGTTCTGGCCTAAGTAATACTTAGAAATCCAAGATGAAGAATTTACAGTTCAACATTACTTTGCTTAGTGATCTGGTTTTTAATCAGTGCCTGCCTGCTTCTTGATGCTTCTCAGATCGTCACGGACTCTGCTTCTGTGGAGCGTTTGCTGGGGAAGACCGACGTCCAGCGGCCCCAGGTGGTGGAGTACTGCGTGGTCTGTGGCGACAAAGCCTCCGGTATGCAAGCGTCATTGTTCTGCGTGTGCATCGGAGACCACGTGGGGGCTAGGGGGTACTTAGCAGACAGAAAGCATCTTTTGTGGGTTTCAGAACATAAGCTCTGCATTTCTGGTTGAGGTAGCAAACCAGCTTGTCAGGTTCAAACCAAAGGAAGAGCCAAGACTGTGATTTGTAAATCTTAGTTGAATGTCAGATGTGTAGGAGGTAATCATTTATTTATTTAATCTGTCTAGTTCACACATGCGCAGTGCTGTGTTAATCACAGTATGTGGTGCTTATCGACTTTACCTTCATCCTAACTGCAACTGTCTCATCCCTCCCCGCATCCCCAGTGTGCTAAACTGCTGTGATGCAAGGGAAGGGAGCCAGGAACATTTAATTTTTGCTGAAGCCAGGGCCAGGAAAGGTTCCACAGAGGTGGTCACAGCTCTGAAGTTGAGTGTGTTCTTGCTGGTGTGTAGGGAAGGGCGTTCCAGCCGGTGGAGCTAGCTCTGTGTACTCCAGTGTTTCCTGGGGATACACCTGTCATCTTGGGGGTACGCTTCCATCCTGGAGAGAAAGGCCCAGAAGCCCTTCCCTATCTATGTTGGCGCCTCCGCATGTGATGCTCTAGATGGGTCCCAGCCCTGGGGGTTTGTGGAGCCAGAGAGCGTAATGTCTACACCTGTGGTGTCTTTGGGGTAAAGTTCTTGGGCTTCCCTGGTTAGGATATGGGTGCCAGGAGACGTAGAAGATGCCCAATCCAGAAGTTCAGACTTTGACCTGCCATGCTGGGTAACTGTGGAAAACAAGTCAGGGGGCCAGGAGGAATGGAGAAGTACTTGTAAAGAGGCAGTTCCACTGATGGTTGGCGCACAGGCCTGCGTGCTGTGATGGCTGCTAGGTTTTGCTTTTTTCTGTGGTCACAAAATGTACTTTGGACACCTTATAATCCTAATTTTTATTTTTGTTTATAAAGGAGGCTGCATCAAGCCTCTTAGGAAGACAGACCCAGGCAAGCATCCACAGAAAATGGGACGAGCCAGTTGCTCTCCCAGTTTTTAAAACTTTTAGACCCCTCCGTTGTCCTAGTAGCCCAGCGGCCCCCACCCTTCCTGACCCTCACCCACCCTAGTAGGCAGGGCCAGCACTGCCTGTATCCAGCACCTTTATAGAGCTCCCTCCGGGCATTTATTATGTTCTGTGGTAATTGATTCTTCCAGGCTTTTCTTACCCACCAGAATGTGCTCGTTCTGTTAGAGCAAAAACCACGCCTGACCCATCCATCTCTGTATCCCGTCTTTGTGCTTGGGAAGGAGGTTAACTGCAAATAACCGATGAGGGAGGGCATGACAAGACCTTTTGTCAGTCTTTCTTTGGGCTTAAGAAAAGGCAAGTCACAGACCTGAACGCCATTGTCTCCAGACGCTGGGTCATCTTCAGGGTAGAGCTCGAGGGAGCACACCACAGGAAAGGAAAATCACGTCAGCGTGGTTACTGTAGCACAACTCTTTTAAAGACAGCCAATTGAAACTTTCAGATGAACACTTGGGGGTTGGCTTGTGATGACGGGGTGCCCAGCAGCCACTGTAAATAATGACCCGTGAGCCGTGCCCTCTAGCAGTGTCGCTAACACGCTGGGTTACGTAAAACCCAACCAAAGCACCTGTCCATAGTCACTCGCCTGCAAGCAGGTGACTGTAACATGTTAGGGGTGTGCTGTGGGGCCGTGAGGGCAGGCTGAGGTGGGCGACTTTAATTCCATTGGCAACTAGAATAAACCAAGTTGGAGAAAAACAACTTTAATAATGTATTTCTGCATTAAACACATTCCCGCATTTCCAAAGGGTCTGAATACCCAGGCCAGGTGCGCCCTCACGCAGCCTTCCCTCCACTGGCCCACGGTGCAGCCACAGTTCCTGGTCATTCCCCCCCAGTCATCCCTTCCCCAGCGCAGGTGCTGGCCCAAAAAGGAGTGAAGACAGGGGTGCGACCTCTATGCCCACATGGCACGTGCCGGAGTCTGTGACATGCTGCCCTTGGAGGATGGGGCGCCTAGTGACTTCACAAACCGGGGTGTGCAGCGCCAGCGCAAGGTGCACCCCAGCAGACTTGGCGCAGCCATTGCTCACTGTCAGTAACCTGCCTGCCTCAGCGCCAGTTTAGCCGCACTACAGGGCTGCTTTCAAGATAGCAGGGAAACTTCAGAGACCTGGGCGCATGCCCTGTGCTCAGGCCGAGGTGGTACTGGGTGGTCGCTGCCAGTCCCTCCAGCAGACAGCCTAGGAGCAGAGCCTTGACAGATGACGCGCATCTTCTCAGTGAACCCACTCACCTAGTCTTTGTCCTTTCAGGCCGTCACTATGGGGCTGTCAGTTGTGAAGGTTGCAAAGGTTTCTTCAAAAGGAGCGTAAGGAAAAATTTGACCTACAGCTGCCGGAGCAACCAAGACTGCATCATCAACAAACACCACCGGAACCGCTGTCAGTTCTGCCGGCTGAAAAAATGCTTAGAGATGGGCATGAAAATGGAATGTGAGTCTGTGAAACGGCCTGAGTTACCAAGGAGGGAGGAAGTGAGGTTTCTGTATCTGACTGTAAAATACTTTACGAAAAGTGTGTCCACTCAGGCTTACCTTTGCTTTATCTTCGGGGTCCGTGAGGTGACTCAGCCATGACACTGGTGGGGCTACTCAGTTCCCCACATGTGCGTGGAAACCCCCAGACAGCCAGGAGGCAGCACCGTGGAGAGGGCTGAGCACAGACTGAAGCACAGCTGACTAATCCAACTGCTTTTTGCCACAGCCAGGCTGTGCGACTTGATGAAGAGGCAGCCACTCTCAGCCCCATCTGTGAGCTAGAACCTCTTAGTTCCCTTGCATAATGGGTCTGGGGTTCATCCTTTTTGAAAAGGACTTGATTGTTGTTTTGGCACATGTACCTGTTCTCACACCAGGCTGCTGAGGGGGGTCACGCGTGTCACAAAGGGTGGACAGCTGTCACACTGGAGAAGCCTTGGGGCTCGCATAGGGCTCCCCAGCAGCCTGTGCTCTGGGCCAGCTCTTCCTGGGGCCCACCTGAGGAGGATGAATTTTTCTCTTAAAGAGTCCCATCTGTTAGAGCAAGAAATGAGAAACTAGAAGGCTCCACATGGGCCCGTGGTGCCTGCAAGCTTCTTAGCAGGCAGTGCCTACGTTTTGGACCCTTGTCTGGAGGGAGACGTGGCATTGTTTGACTCTGAGCTTCTCTCTCTGTGGTTGAAAAGTCCACTATAGAAATTGAGCTGGACACATCTAGCCCCAGAGATTTTCATCTTGGTAGTAACAGACTCACTAGAGGAGATGCTTTACTTCAGCCTGAGGATGTGGCTTTTATGGATTTGAATCTTTCCTGTAATGTGAATATTTATGTTGTGATTTAAGCTGTGCAGAGTGAACGGAAGCCTTTTGATGTACAACGGGAGAAACCAAGCAACTGTGCTGCTTCAACTGAGAAAATCTATATCCGGAAGGACCTGAGAAGTCCTCTCATCGCCACTCCCACATTTGTGGCAGAGAAAGATGGAACAAGGTCAGTTGCTGTTTTGACAGCAGCACTACCATCAGCCTTTGAGGCGGAGAGAGGAGGCCTGCACTTCCTTGGGGACCAGGGCAACAGGGCTCCACCCACCTGTTACTGCCCTTCACCTGGTCTTGCTCATCTCGCGTCTGGAGCAGCTTCTGTCCCTCAGGACAGGCCCGAGACCCCTAGCTTCAGATGGGGCTAGAGTGTCTCCTGACTGAGGGCTCAGGCCATGTCTTGTCATTCGGGCATTGTTCAGACAGCAGACGGGTTCCATGTTCATGATTGAGGCTTTTTTGCTGGTGGCCTAAATCCCAGGTGTGTTCCTGATAGTGTCACAAGTTAATTTATACATTCTTCTTAATGTAATATAGTGAACTTAAATTCAAAACAGAACAGAAAAAGGGAAAACTGAAATCCAGCATGTAGAATAGAGGGAACTGGAGATGCCTTGGTGACATTCTGAAGGTCAAGTCAGCTTTATTTGGCAGAGTAGCCAGTCTGCAGTCCACGTGGGGAGCCCAGGGCTCAGGCTTCTGTGAGGAAGAGCCAGTGTGCGCCTCACTGCCGTGGTGGGGGAGGAACCTTTTGGTGGGCTGGTGAGAGTTTTGCTGCCATCCAGGCAGTTCCCGTCTGTGAGGAGACAGGTGAGTGCAGACTGGCCATGCTGCACAGAATGCTGCAAGCCACTCTGGGTTTCTTTATGTCTTACATAGACAGACAGGTCTTCTCGATCCAGGGATGCTTGTGAACATCCAGCAGCCTTTGATACGTGAGGATGGCACCGTTCTCCTGGCCACGGATTCCAAGGTGATGTTCTATGTTCTACCCTGTGCACCCTCCCCTCCCTCTCATGCTTCAAGCTGCCCTGGTGCACCTGCCCTCTCAGCTTTAGTGACCACATTGAGAGTACGGTCTTCTGCATCTCATTTTGCTACTGCTTTCATGCGGTTTTGGGGAGCTTTTCAAGATCTCATTTGGGGTGGCTGATGAATGTCATTTATAACATGTCAGGGTCAGGGATAGAGTTTGGTGAAATGTGTTTGACTCTTTGTCCATTCAGCTTTTCCCCTGGATACGTACCTACTGGCAGACTGCTGGCCTGCTGAGGGAGTAGATAGCTTCTTTCCTCAGCTGGCTGTCAAGAGGGACCCGTTCCCTCTTGATTTCATTCAGGCGGAAGTCCAGCTGGGACTCTAACAGTTCTAAAACATTACTAAAGCACATCAGCCATGGGGAAATTTAACTTGAGACTAATGTTGAGAGTCGAAGAGCGCGTGAGCTGACTGACTTGTGCGAAGGTGATCAAGGTGGCTTTATCCAGACAGGGCATCCTTTGCTTTCCTCAGCGCACTCTGATAACAGCCATGTGCTGATGAACATGCAGCCACCCATAACTCAGGTCCCATTTTTCTCCTCTGCAAGGAGCAACTCTGGTAGCCCTGCATGGCCACCGCCCTCAGGCCAGAGCTGGCCCAGCAGGTGCCTTCTGTTCTGCTCAGCGTGTTGGTGCGCACAGTACATTAAGGAGCAACATCCTCTTTGGGGAAAGGAAAGGCAGAGTTGAGAGCTGGTCACTCGCTGTCCTCAGGCCAGACTTGACGCTTCCTGTCTCTGGGCAGCAGTGACATGTGGAGTGTGGGGATCACGCCTGGCTTGCTGCTGTCAGCCAGCAGACACAGGGGACAAAGACTTTGTAGTGTCATGAGGAGACTAAGTGTAGAAGTCAGGCCCAAATAATCGGACTGCCAGGGTTTCCACAGCCGCTGTCACGGTGACAGCCACACGGTGTTGGCAGGCACGAGGCTCGGCACCAGTCAGAGAGGGAAGCCCGTGCTCTCTGTTGCCCTCAGCACGAGTGAGTTGGTGGGAGCTGGTCCATGCCACAGATAGGGAAGGAAGGTCACAGGGTTTGGGGGAAGAGCTGCCTCTCCTGCCACGCTTCACTCTGGGCTGGGGGCACCAGCACTGCCCGCGTCTGTTGTGACTAGAAGGACATGCGCAGGGCATCTAGAGAGAGCTCTCAGAGGTGCTTTTGAGCTTTTACTTTGAATGAATACAGAAAAGCGACAGCCAGCGCATGCGCCCTTCCCGCTTCTCTCTGCGGTTCCGAGGGTGCAGCAGCGCACAGGACACGGCGTCCTCGTCCTGTCTGGTCGCTTCCTCGCAGCTTGCCCCTCAGCATCTTCCTCTCACCATGGTCTGTCTTCTAGCAGCTGCGCCATGTTCTGTCAGCCACGTGGTAGCGCTCATCGTCCCTGTTTGAGACTTCTTCGACTGTAGAGCTTCACTTTGGTAACTGAAACAAGATGCTTGTGTCTCTGTGTTTAAGTATATCTTTGGAGGACCTTTGGCAGCTGAGATATGTCACATACCTGAACCATCACCCTTGCATTGGGCAGGTGTGAGGTTTTCAGTGTTCAGTAGCCGTGCAACCACATCTGTCTAATCCCAGGAGTGTTTCATCGCCTAAAACGAAACCCTGAAATCAGCAGGAGTCACTACCCACCCCAGGACATTGCCAAGCCCTACTGGCCACTAATCTTTCTGACTATGGTTTGTCAGTTCTGGAAGTGAACAGCATGTGGCCTTTGAGGCTGAGCTTGCCTCCCAGCGTCTTCCCCGGGCTCCCCCATGTTGTAGGGTGTGTCAGTATTTCATGCCTTCTGCTTTGCCAGGAGTGGCTCTACCACATTTTACTTATCAACTTACCAGCCAGTGAATACTTGGGTGGTTCTACATTTTATTCATTAATAATGCTGCAACGAACTTTCACATGGAGACAGGTTTTCATTTCTCCTACATAACACACCTAAGGCTGGACTTGCTAGTCACATGGGAACTCTGTTCAAACTTCGAGGACCTGCCGGGCTGTTCTCTAGTGTGGCCATGCCGCGGTAGCGCTCCCCGCCGTGTGTGAGGGCCCCTTCCCCACGTCTTGCCAACCCTCGTCCTCTGCTCATCCTCGCTGCAGGGTTGACTGTGAAGCAGGATTGCACTGTGGTTTTGATTTGCATTTCTAGTAACTTTGAGCATCTTTTCATGTGTTTATTTTTATGTCTTCTTTGAAGAAACACCTCTAAAGTTCTTTGTCTATGCTTTAAACTGGGTCTGCATACTCTGGATTTGTATGAGCTCCTTGACTACTAAACCATTATTAGATGTGATTGCCAAGTATTTTTCCTATTCTGTGGATTGTTGCAGGGGAGGGAATTGCCTGTTTGCTTTGGCGAAGTCCAGTTAAAATGTTTTGCTGTCATTTTGTCACGTGTAAGCTTGCATGACGACCATGCAAGCTTACACGTGACAAAATGACAGCGAAATAGAGAACTGCCCCAGCACGGAGAAGAGCTCACCGTGCTGCCCTTTGCTCCCCTGACCCCAGAGCTGCTCAGCTGTTGTTAATGTGTGTCCATCATTAATGCTGCGGTTTGTTTGATAGGCTGACACAAGCCAGGGCGCCCTGGGCACACTGGCAAATGTGGTCACCTCTCTTGCCAACCTGAGCGAGTCTCTCAACAATGGTGATGCTTCAGAAGTGCAGCCGGAAGACCAGTCTGCAAGTGAGATAACTCGGTACGAACCCACGGGGTGAGGGAGGGAGGGCGGCGGCGTATCGACACCAGCTGTGTTCCATTAAGGACAGTGACCTTGTCACAGAGCCCCACGACTCTGTCCCTTTCAGGCTTTAGCTATGGGGATGTGGACCCACTTCTTTTTTGGTATAAAACAATCATGTTTTTTCACTACAAACAGCGAAAAGCCAATTGAGTGATCCAGTGGGCGCAGGGAGACCCTGCAAGGTCGGGTGTGGCCCCGTCGCTGCTGCCATTTTGAGGTCAGCACCCCGCCCCCCTGGAGTCTAGAGCTCCCGTTGCCAGAGTAGATGGACACAGGCAGCTGGCTACAGCTGCCCACAGGAGTGCCCCTCCTGCCCATCTGCCCACCAGACAGCAGCACAGCTGGGCCCCACGCGATGCACTGGTCTTGAGTCGGTGTGCACCCCGATAGCACAGGGAACATGCAGATCTGCTGGCGTGTGGCTCGGACTCCACCACTCACTGGGGGGTGAGCTTGGAAAAGTTACTTAGCATCGCCGACCTTCAGCTTCTAAATCTGAAGTGGAAAGAATCTCTACCTCAGAGACAATTCTGTGAAAATAATACAAAGCAAGAAAGGTGACAGGTGTACGCCATGGGGACGGTTTGAACTTCTAGTGGTGAACTTCATGTGTAGGCTTACCGATTTTCAGTGCTGCGCACCCGAATCTTGGTTAGCACGCATTATGCCAGTAAAATTTTTAAAATAAACAATACCCAGCTTACCCCAGACAATACTTGAACGCTTTCCTCCTCATCCCTCCCCTTAGCAGAGAGATTTTAAGAACCTTTCTCCCCAGGGCTTTGCTCTTCTAAATTACATCTTCTGTTCTCCTAAAAGCTCTGCATTCACACTGCTGGCTCACTTTGTTTTTGCTCACAGGGCCTTTGACACGTTAGCTAAAGCACTTAACACCACAGACAGCTCCTCACCGCCCAGCCTAGCAGATGGGCTAGATGCCAGTGGCGGTGGGGGCATCCACGTCATCAGCAGAGACCAGTCCACGCCCATCATTGAGGTGGAAGGCCCTCTCCTTTCAGACACTCACGTGACGTTCAAGGTGAGTGCGTCCAGCCTGACCATGCAGCTCCGCGGCCGGGACGGGCTCTGCAGGGGAGAAGTCAGCCTGGCAGTGAGCTTGTTTCCATTTCTGGCATCTGAGGGGGCTCTTCTGCTTCCATGTGAAGCATCCTCCCTTTTACAACCCATGCAGTTTGGCTCCGAACGTAACTCTGAGGCTGTTTTAGCCGGTCATTGCCCAGAGGGACTGACGTGGTGTGATCAGTGAGGACTGGCAGCTGACTGCTGTGCCCTCTGCCGACGAATGCCTCCCACGCAGTCCCGTGCGTGCACCTGAGCTGTACCCTGTGGGAGGCCAGCCGTTGTGCACAGCCACTAGCGCTGGTCACTTGCCCTCCGGAGCCACAGAAATAGGTGTCAGGCAGCCTCTAAGAGTGCTGCTCTTCTGTGCACTCCTCCCCTGGCCTCACTTCTGCAGGGCGCGCCAAGTTCCCTGAACGGCTCAGCGAGCTCTGAGTCTCCTCTCCCCCCGCCCACCCCCCTCCCCCCGAATTCTAGGAAGCTGGTGCTCCTGGGTGTGCCCTGGATAAGGTCACCAGTGGAATTCCAGCTTCAAAGGCATGTGGGGCCCCTTCTAGTCCATGACACCCGGCAGCCAGGCTGACACTTGGTGGCACCTGCCGGCCCCATCTCAGGGGCTTCTGCTCAGTTCTCGTTCACTGTTAACCTTGGGGCCATCTGCCCAGTGCCCACTCACCACCAGGTTGACTGACCACTGTTCCCCAGTTTAGACTTGAACCTGTGACTCAAAATGGAATTCCCTAGCCCACAGGGATTACAGCTTAGGGGAAAAGGCACAAAATGATGTAAAAATAAGCTATTACGTTATTTAAAAAAACATGGAATTCCCAGATGACAGTTTCATTGAGGCGAGCATTGCAAAGCCCACCTGTGTGGGATGCCCCCATCACTGTCCACGTCCCCAGGGCCCTCAGACCCTAGTCGGCTGGGCAGAAGAGCACAAGGAGTCAGTGCCAGGCTCCTGGTGCGGAGGACACTTCCTGAGAATGGGCCCACCTAGGAGCGTCCACGACGGTGACTGCTGTGCCTGCTGGATGTGACGGGGATTCTGGAGCACGTCACCCTCTGTCCCTGGTCAGCGCCTATTGTGTGCCTCCTTTCCAGCTCACGATGCCCAGCCCGATGCCGGAGTACCTCAACGTGCACTACATCTGCGAGTCCGCCTCCCGCCTCCTCTTCCTCTCCATGCACTGGGCCAGATCAATCCCCGCCTTTCAGGCACTGGGGTAAGTGGCCTTGTCCCCGGGGTAGCCCTGCGCAGTGGCCCTCCCTTCTCTAGCAGTGGCCTGGAGCGACCTCGGCGGGCCCTTCCGTTTTGCCCTCTGACCTTGCTCTGGTGACCTGCCTCATTAAACACAGTGGACTGGCAGCGGGCCGAGGAGCGGCAGTGGGCCCCAAGCAGGGTTGCGCCCATGCTGTACCGAGGACACTTGGGTGGGGCTGAAGCCCAGAGTCGAGCTGGACTCAAGCTGAGAAGTGCGTCTGTATCTGCGTCGGCATGGAGAAGGACGTGACATTCTGCGCGCACCAGCAGGCTGTCCTGAGCAGACAGACTGAGGCAGGGCTGGCACCGACTTGCCTGGCCCTGCCCCCCCGCCCCCCGCTGCAGGCCTCGCGCCTCCCCTGGGAGCCGCATGTCCGGCTCTCAGGCACCTCTCCTCCCCAGGCCACATTGGCTTTCGGTCCCCTGACCACCGTAGCCTCTCCCCCAGAGCCTGCCAGGGCGGCTGCCCGGCTAGAGGGCTAGAAAATGCCATTTAGTCACACCTGTTAAATGTCATTACTTAAGACTAAAGAATCTTTAAGAGAATAGTAGATCCTCAGAGGCAATTAAAACCGTTCTCAAAGCCCTGGACATACCACAGACCTTTGACAAACACTTAACTGACTTTACTCACTTGAGGTATGCGGGGACTCAGAGCTCAGTGCCAACGCCCTTGTCTCTTGTCCCTAGGCAGGACTGCAACACCAGCCTGGTGCGGGCCTGCTGGAACGAACTTTTCACCCTTGGCCTGGCCCAATGTGCCCAAGTCATGAGTCTCTCTACCATCCTGGCGGCCATTGTCAACCACCTGCAGAACAGCATCCAGGAAGGTAGGACTGGGGCCTGGGGTGGGGGGTGCGCGCCGGGTCCCACAGCAGCCACAGGCTGAGGGAATTCAAGTCACAGCATTACCTAGAATGCAGCTAAGAGGGAAAAGTTTTTTTTTTTTTAATGTCCTGGTCCACCTGTGGTAGGTCTCGCGCTCCCTGTTGACTAGACTTTATCAGCTCTGCCGGCAGTTGAGGCATTTATCCTGGCACATTTCTCTAGCTGCTGGAGTTTGTGGCAGATGTCAGGTGCAGCTTGAGCCATGAAGGCCACACTGACCATTGGGTGGATATCTGGTGACTGGATTAAAAAGTGTGTAGGTACAGAAGGTTTCACTCAAGTGGCCATAGAAATCACTGGAGGTCTCGTCAGGTTCTTGAGTGACAGAAGCGGTTTTAGACATGTTGGTTGGCTTTCTAGCCTCTGCCCAAAGATCCATCATGAGACATTGGCACCGGCAGGCTGTGTGCGACTCTTGTCCTCAGTGTAGAAATCTGTTTGGGGCAGTATCAGGCTGCTTGAGCAGCCCACATACCAGGATCTAGGGTGCCGGTCAGCACCTGGTCCTGGAACCACCCCGAGTTCTGTGGGGATGTGCCGGCGTCCTTCTGCGTTGAAGAGGAGGGGCCAGGAGGCATTGGCCAGTCACCCCATGTAGGGCAGTAGTCTGACAGGTGGAATCAGACTGCTATTCTGAATAGGCCAGAGTGGCACGTTCTCAATTCAGAAGTTCAGTCAAGGTAAAATGTTGCTAGTAGAGAACGGGAGCACCCATCTGGACAGTGCTGGGGGCGGCCCTTGGCTGTCTGCAGGAGGCTGTAGGGACAGGGCCTGGCTGAACCATGTCTTTGGGCAGTTGGAGATGCAGGCTTAACACCAGAGAAGATGGAGGGTCAGAGGGCTGATGGGTTTTAGGGTCCGGATGGGGTGGGGCCGCCAGGCTGACAGATCGTAAAGAGGAGGCAGTTCTGCTTTGGGGCGCTGGTTCTGATGAGTGGGTGGGGCTGGTGGCAGCTGAGCGCCGCAGTGTACACATACAGCGGGACCTCACTCTTGCCCTGGCCTGAACCAGTGGGTCAACTGTCACTCAGTAAGAGAAAACAGATCAGGATGGCCTGGGGCGCCTGTCACAGCTTTCCACACCACCCGGGCTGTGGGGATGTCAAGAGTTTCTTCTGGAGGCCACCTGCCTGACACAGGGCCTGACGTTCCTTATGGGTTAAGGCAGCCCTATAATCTTCGGAACCCCTTTTACTCTGAGTCCTCCCCGTGTTTGGTGCCACCACAAAAGGGCAGGGGAACAATCACGTTCTTGTCTGTCCGCGTTCTCAGAACACAAGGTGTCTTGGGTGAAGGCAGCCTGTGCAAATCCTGGCCAGAGCCTTGAGAAAGGTCACCAATGTGCCTCTGACATTGCCAGTCAGAACCAGACCAGGCAGATCTGTAACCACAGTCATGAGACTGTTACACATGCGCGTACACAGGAGCTGTGCATTCCACCCAGCGGGAATCTCCGCGACCCCATGAAGGGGCACGAGAGGCGATCAGTCTCTCCTTCTGTCTGTTGGGAGGGGCCTGATCTAGAATGAGTGCCTCAGGGCTTACCCTCTCCTGGGCCTCTGTCCACCTCTGGGGGGGGGGGCGGTCAAGGTATGAGGGCAGTGACCCAGCTCTTTTGACCTTAGGAAGGAGGACTGAACAAGGTGGTACTCCGCCCCCTTTGCTCGAGGGAGAACCCTGGGCACGGCCCCAACACCAGACCGGGTAGCCAAAGTGGCCAACGCAGTTGGTTTCCCAGTCAGGGAACCAAAGTGTCATGGTGATTTCCCAGAGAAATCGGGGGCACTCAGACTTGGAGAGAGATTTACTTGTCATACTGGTGGGCTCAGCGGAATAGCTTCCAAAAGTCTGAACCCCAAAAGTAGAACGGCAGGGTTTATACACTGTGTGTGCACAAGCGTGTCACCTCGTCTACCTTGGATTTTCCTTACTGTTGGGAAGGGAGTCAAGGTAGCCGTAGCCGCTACTGGGCCAGAGCAGACCCCAGCAACTCTCCACCTCAGCAAGCAGCAAACTTGGAACTTCCTGCTTCTGTGTGACCTTTACCTTCTCGCCTAACGAACATTAGGGAGAAAAGTAGGTCACTGGGGCAACTGAGATTCTGTTGAGGCCCCTGGCTTTGTCCAGGGAAACGGCAGATAGGCCACCACCCTGGGCGTAGCGCCTCACCGCAGGGTGCAGTCACCTCACCCTGCTGCTCTTCGTGAGTGAACAAGTAACTCTCTTCTAGTAAGATCTGTAACAGCCTCTAACACTGGGTGGTCACGCCCAGGCCATGTCAGGAGCAGATGGCCCATGTTGCCCACACGTGCAGCGTGCACTGGGCAGACACCATCTAGGCGCCCACCCGCAACCAGAGGCTGACACCTGCCATCTGCAGTGAGTTGCCCAGTGGTCAGTGCCCGGGGCTGCGAGTTACTTAGTCACAGACCTTTGTTTTTCCTTATTCCTTCGGGATAGTAAACAGAGTTGACTTGAAACCCTTTATCATTTTCACTGACTTTAAGTTCGATTTGTTCGCAAACCTTGGCTTTATTTTTAAGCACATGTAATACCTTCTGTACGATATTGTCATGGTGGTTAAACCCAACAACATAAGCTAAAAAGTGTTTTGACAACAAAAGAGGCAGGCATTTAATGTTCAGGTCAGCAAACATTTAATAAATATCTGTAGACTTAGAAAACCTGACATTTAAGATTCACCTGTCAGTTCACATTAAGAACAGAATGAGAGGAATTACTGATTTGCACCTGTAGCCCCAGGTGTTGCGTAGTGGGGCCAGGAAGGCCACGGAGCCAGAAGGCACAGCAACAGCACGTGGTGCTGCTCTCACTCTCCTTCCACTGGAAGACGAAGCTCTTGACCATCTTGAGAGAACTGATTTTTTCATTAAAATGTGAAATTATTCTCATTTCTTTCCCTCTGTGGCCCATTACAGCAGCTCACTTTCCTCCTCTTGTTACTTTCTGAGTATCTGTGGTGTTGATTTCTAGATAAACTTTCTGGTGACCGGATAAAGCAAGTCATGGAGCACATCTGGAAACTTCAGGAGTTCTGTAACAGTATGGCGAAGCTGGATATAGACGGCTATGAGTATGCATACCTTAAAGCTATAGTTCTCTTTAGCCCCGGTAAGCTATGTGGTGGTGGCTCATGGCAGTTTTCCACCTGTCTCTGGTATTTCCGAACATGAACGTGTCAAGCTGTCAGCGGTAGAGAGCACCTACCCTGATTGTATGTGCCCAAGTGTTCTCCTCATAGGAGTGCTTTGCAGGTTAACAAAAGTACACATGTGCACATGTTCTTGAAATCCTCGCCTGTACTGTCTCCATGCTATAATGCCTGGTAGTTTAATATATTGACCAGACTTTGGCCAGACAAGACTATGGCATATGTAGTATCGATACTCCCCAGGATCCTTTTGCTCTGCCCTTTGTGACCTTTCGCCTGAGGTCAGCAGGCATCATGGGCAGGCTGAGACGCACACGTCCCCCACCATGGCCATAGGGCAGAGGTGGCTGGATTCTCGGGGAATGACCTACTATCCTTGACAACTGAGGTTGGACACAGCTTAACCACTCCCTTCCTCTCCAGCTTTCCACCCACAAATGTGAAAACAGTTCATCAAAATGGAGTAAATGATGTGATTAAATATGTAGAAAGCAATTTCTAATTTCAGTCTTAAAAATCTATGTGTTCTGTAGAGTAACAGGAAACCAAATGTTCAGATCAGCCCCCGCAGGGCTGCTGAGGCTAGTGTGACCATGCAGGAGCCCAGCCCCCTCTTGGGGACCTTCAGAGCGTGGCCAGACACAAAGGAAGAACGAGTGTCCTAGCAATAATGCCCTAACTAGATCAGCTTCAGAGTGCAATCTTTTGTTTCTTGCAAGGTGTCAGACATTTGACTAAAAGTTAAGTTCTGAGGAATCTGTAAGCGAGGCTTCTGAATAGAGGGCAATCTGGGGGCGCTTTCTCTTTTCAGATCATCCAGGCTTGACCAGCACAAGCCAAATTGAAAAATTCCAAGAAAAGGCACAGATGGAGTTGCAGGACTATGTTCAGAAAACGTACTCAGAAGACACCTACCGGTGAGGCTCAGACACTCGGAGGCTTTTGGGGCAGGAAACAACCTGGCTGGATCCGTGGTTGCAAACGTGACCACGTCAGCCTCCCATTGCCAGCAGGGAGGGCGAAGGCCAGCAGGCCGTTTGTTGCTGGTGACTGGATAGACCTCAAGCTTCTCCTCTTATCTTGAGGGGTCAGTCTCCTGACAGGGCGCACAAGGCCCGGTTCTCGTGCAGCCTGCCCTTGTCCAGAGTGGCTGTTCATTGCGCCCACCTGGCCGGCCCCCACGGAAGAGGCTTGCCAACACACACACGTTCTCCTTCCCTCTGATGGAGTGAGTGCACTGTGTGGAGCCTTTATAAGGATACATTAGTTTGTGTTTATGAGGGCCGAGCAGCAGTGTGTGAGCTATTATGAACAATGAAGGGAACACACGTGCTTATGCCTCTTGGAGGCATTTCTCAGGATAAACGCCCATAAGAGGACCTCTTGAGATCAGGAAAGCAGGCAGAGGTAGATCTGTCTTCACCTCCAGCAGTCCACATTGGGCCCCGAGCCTGCGCAGGCCCAGTCCGAAAGGCGAACTCCCTTTTCTCTAACACCCCTCCCTCTTCCAGATTGGCCCGGATTCTTGTCCGCCTGCCCGCCCTCAGGCTGATGAGCTCCAACATAACTGAGGAACTCTTTTTCACCGGTCTCATTGGCAATGTTTCAATAGACAGCATAATCCCCTACATCCTCAAGATGGAGACAGCAGAGTACAACGGTCAGATCACCGGAGCCAGCCTATAGTGCACACAGCCCACCCGCCCGCCCAGGCGCCACAGGACCTCCCGGGACCTCTCAGACACAGAGACTAAATAATGGTGTTTTGGTATGTGCATATACTTCGATACGTTAGCCATTTCCTACCTTGTTTCTCGTTAATCCCAGACAATTGCAACTAAAAGACTAGTAGGATCCTTTCCTGCCGTAAGAAATGTTTTAATGCCTTTTGATGAAGCAGATTTTGGAACAATCTTTTAATTCAATTTGTACTTAGAAATTCTCAAAGGGCAAAAAACAAAAAGTTTTATAATGTCAGAGACTAGTATTAAAGAAAACTAAAAAGAACCTAAGAGAACAGTATGTGTGTATATATAGAAAATGTCCTTGGAATTAATAGCTACTAATTACCAGGGTAATAATAGCACTTTCTAAGCACTTCTTATCAGTGGATGATGTTAGCAACATCTTGCCTGTGGACAGGGCAAATGGAAAAGTATGCATGTCTTTGCCGAAACCTGATGATGTCCATGAAAACGCAATAGGGTAGAGGAGACAATCATTTGTGTTGAAGGAGGCATCATTCCTCATTTTATGCTCACCGTGGTGGTGGTGGTGGTGGCTGAATTTCTGTAAGCAAATGTAAATGTGGCTTATCTGTGTCATGCAGGAAGGGGGGTGTGGTGGCACAGTGGGCGGGGCCCAGACAGAAGTCGCAGCCTTAGCTGCTGTTTGTTGGGCTCTCTGACTTCTGGTTCTGACTGTAACAGGCATCGCTAGGCGCCTCCAAGCCTGTGCTTTCTTTGGGTCACTGGTTCTCAGAGCTGAGTTGCAGCCAGACAGGCATTAACTATCAATTCCTGCAGCGGCTGAGACCATCCCCGATCACCTTCACCACTTGACGGGAAATGAACCTTCTGGCCAAAAAGCGCCAGGCGGGCATTTTGAACTCTGACTTACAGGAACAGAAGGTGGTTGCGTGTTCAGAGAGTGTGCGAGTTCCTTTCTCCGGTTTTCATTGCCAGCGTCACCTTGAGAAGGGCTGTGTCAGCCAGTGATTCGGTCAGACCCAGCTGGGGGTGGGGGACGCACAGGGCCTGTGAAGCTTAGTGGAAAGTTTCTCTGTTGACCTTCAATGTCAGGGTTGTTGTCTCCAGCCTTAGCATCTCGTTGAGTGTTCTGATGGTATTGGAGGGCCATGACTGTTAACAAGGACAGAATACAGTTACGAGGAAGTTTAGTATAGCTAGAGCAGAGCACCCCTAAGTTCCTGTGGGTCTAAATGCACTGCAGGCACCCCGTTTGGGAAGGTGGCACGTCCAGAGCCGGGTCAGGTGCTTGTGCTTGCTTTCTGGCCGCCCAGGCTGACAGGGTGCGAGGTTCCCACTCCTTTGAACTCCGGAAAGGTGGCTGTGCACTTTCCCGCCTAGGGGCACACCCTGGTCTGGCCTGGGCCCACAAGGGGCCTAGGGTAGGTGGCACACCTGCTGTGTGTGGTTGCCAGGCAGCCAGCCGCAGGCTCGTGGCAAAAGAGGATGCTTCCAAGTACACAGTAGTAGCACTTTATGAAAACGAAGTTCCTGTTTGGGTTTAATTATAGTTTATGCTTTAGGCAAATTGTAGAGAATAGGGATGCCTGTTATAAAATGATGGAAAGGATTTAATTTTACCAACTCAAGTTTCTGCGTTTCTGACTTTTGAAGTGATTCACATTTCAAAATTAAGACAAAACTGGCCAAGGCAATGGAGCTTCATGTCTGCTTGTGAAGGATTTAAGCAGAGGGCGTTCTGAAGCGTGTGCGCCTTACACAGTGAGGTGCCCATCTTCCTGCCCTTGCGCTCGTGAGCCTGTTGACCATGGCAGCGTCCCCCAGGAGTGCCCCAGATCCGAGTTCTCAGAGTCGGTGAACAGGCCCACACCAGGCAGCTCCCTCCTTCCCTGGGGCAGGCCCTGGGACTCTGTCCACTGGGCCTTGCCTCCAGTTGCCTTAAAATGTTGGGGCAGCTTAACCAACACCCGCACAGAGGTGCTGACAGCGTTCGGGCGTGCTGGAATAGAGACTGGTTAACTGGCCCTTGCTTGCAGAAGTGCCAGGTCTGGCGAGACAGCCCTGGGCACAGGTGGGTTTAGCTTGGAAAATCGGTCCTGACCCTGTACCACTCCTTGACAGTGACCCACTTTGGGTTTTGAAACACTCCACATTAGTTTTTCAATGGCCTTAATCTGAAGTGACCTTTTTCTTCAAGGATCATGTCCACACAACTGGAATTCATGATGCCCCAATTTACATCTAGCCTTTGACCACACACCCATACCCTCTCTTGTTAAGTTGGTTAAGAAAGTCCAAAACCAAGATAATTTGAAGGGATCCCAACAAAACAGGTGGTTGGTTTTCACAACTCCTGTTTTTGAAACTCGAGACTTGAAGTCAGACCGGGCCTCAGCCTACTGCACCCCGAGTGAAATAAGCCAGGTGCAGGGTCCTTCCCATAGGGCCAGGTCCCAGGCCCCTTCTGCTGGCGGAGTCATCCTCCCTCGGGGAGGCAAGGTGTGCTGCCTGAGGCCTCGGGACAGACGCTTCTCTGGCGCAGGCTCTCCCTCTGGGGTGTCTCGGATGTGGACAGTGACAAAATAGTTACATATATTCATAAACAGGACAGGAAGACTTAGAAAAAGACCAAATTACTCAAATACTTTTCAAGTTATTCCTATTAAGTATTTTTAAGGAAAATAATGTCCTTCTCGTGTGTGTGTGTGTGTGTGTGTTTTGAGGGGTTACATTATTTATTTAACCTCTGCCATGAGGCCTTTTGTAGGGGTTTGTATTTAACTTGAGGTGTGGTCACTTGCTGTTAAGACTTGTCATGTAATTGCCCTTGAGAAGGGACTGTCCTCTATCTAGCTTGTCGCGAGTGTCTGTATTTGGTCTCCGTTCTGAGGTACTGGCTACCAGCCACGCAGCACAGGATGGACGTGTCTACGCAAAGGCTCACTGACGCAGCAGCCATGTACTCGCTAGGGCACAGGGCCGTAGCCATGCTCCAGACATACTGAGCTGTTCTGCTAGTTTTGGGGATCACCATGGCTGGGAGCCAAAAACTAGGACTCTGGCTGGATCTAGTGCTTTTGCTCTAGGAAAGAGAAAAACCACCTTTGGTTTTGGGGGAATCTGCAGCAGCGCTGTCTTGCACCCAGCCCGCCCTCTGCCTGCAGGCACACAGCTCTGGCCTGTGGATCCAAGTTCCAGGCCCTGATCAGATCAGAGGCCAGAAGCTCACTGCCTGCTTCCCAGGGAAGTGGCCTTATGCACAGTGGGGCTGCAAACAGCATTTGTCTCTTCTCTGACCCCAGGTCATGGGAAGGGGCAGCTTCTGATGCTCACTGTGACCCGAAGGGCAGTGCCCTTTAGATCTGGAAAGGACTGTGTGTGGCTCTTTGAAAATGTCTTTATTTTGATGTGACTTTGTAAAGTCAACCCCTGATGCAGACAGTGGGTTTGGGTCTTTTGAACACAGGGTTCTGGGCCAACTCACGTGTGCCTCCTGCCAGAGTGCACTTGGGCTTGTCCAGCCCCGGGCTCCTTCAGCGGCATTGTGTGTGTACAGATTTATAGCGTGTGACTGAATGAATGTACCTGTGTTTGTATCTTCTGCAGATGTACAGTGTACATAGTGTGTTTACGTGTACATAGGTGTATTATTATGTATACAGACATGTAGCCACGCACCCAAACTTTCCTCCCGTTTAGTGTCTGAGAGCTGGGAAGTTAGTGGGTGGGAGCGCGCCTGGCCCTCAGCAGGGAGTTGCGTGCGATCTTAACTCCATTTGCCTCGGGCAAATGGAGCCTGGCTAGGAAGGGCCGTGCAGTCAGAACCTCTGCTGTACCAGGGAAGGTCTGGGCAGAACATCCTGACAGGATGGCACTGCTGTACGTCCCCTGGGTTCACACAGGGCTGGGGCAAGGAAGCTAGAAGGCTGTGGACCCTAGTGCTGGAGACAAGGTGGGCTTTGGGCCCTAAGCGGGAGGGCCTGGGAGGTAGAGCTACAGGCTGCGTGACCACCCAGAGGGCCCAAGTGTGGGGCTGGGCTCTCAGCCAGAGGGCCACTTCCCACCCTGCTCTGGCCAGGTCACAAGGGGCACACAGTGCCCCAGGGCCAGAGTCGGAGTGACGGTTGGTAGAACCAGCAGGCCAGGCCGTCTGTACAAACAAGCACAGGTGGTGAACTTTTATGGCATATAAGCTACAGATCTTCAGTTCTCTAACCATAGCATGTGAATGAAACCCACTGACTTCTTTCTGTAAATTATGATTTAAAATTTTCAGATGAAAATTGCTTTTTAATAGAGATATGTATGCCCTTAAAGCTACAGATGCCAAATTTTCCTTGTCCAGGTCTATTCTGATGAATTTACCCCTTTAATCGGGCTATAAACTGAGACACGGCACTCGGGAGCCAGGGCCCAGCCCAGCAGTAGTTGCTCACGGACCTGGTAAGCAGGGCCTGACTGGGGGGAGGGCGAGAGCCGGCTTGCGAAGGCACCACGGGATAGCTGCACAGCTCACGTTCCAGTCACTTTTGTTCTTGATAAGCTGTTGAAATGCAGGAAGACGCTTCATTGAGACCATAGTACTCAGTGCCTTGTGTGAGACGTGGGGCGTATGGCCGCCAGCTTCCCCCAAAGCTCCTGGCTCACCGGCTGTGTCCGTGACCGCCCAACCTCCCCATGGCCCTGCCTGCCGGCCAGCACACTACACAAAGGTAGTCTGGCCAGTTCTAACGCCAGTGGAAGCTTGACAGTCTCAAAACGGATCTTTAAAATACAGTTTCTTTCTGGGGCTAGATATCTTAATAGCAACGTAAGAACAATTAAACTGTGAGCTTGAAGACACTTACCTTGAGGGTAGGGGATGTCTGAGATTTCTAATGCCCAGCTGGAGTTTCAGTCAAGCCAGTAATCTGGCCCCTCACTCGATACAAACATGGAAAAAATGCTGGCGCAGACGCTCACCCACATTCATCAATTGACCGACTGTGATAAAGCTTAATATTGGAGTAACATTTGGAAATAGCGATAGACTTTACATTAAGAAATGGCTTTTCTTTAGAAGAATAGAATCAATTATTTTAACAACCAGCGCGTTCACGGACTCAGATGCTGCTGCCATGTACAGCTCCAGTGCTGGACTATTTTTCTACGGCCTCTCCGTTCTCCCGGTTACCTTGTAAACCAGTGTTCAACTAGTTTTATAACTGAAGATGCACATTTTTCATAGTACAAACCATAGTTTTTACCTCTAGTTGGGACCTCTCTGTTGAAATGTAGCTGCATTATCAGCCCTTTTAAACGATGTCTGTTAAAGGAAACTCGGGTGTTTGATTTTCTTGGGACCGTTTCTGTAAACCTTTGCCCTTCACAATAGAGAAAATATTGTTTATGCCATTATATTTTAATTCCAGGTTTAAAACCTGTCAAAAGCTGTAGCTTAAAATCAGCTTTGTTTATGTGATGGCATTTAAAAAAATAGCATGTTCTTTTTAAACTGAATTTTATATCTAATCAGTGTCTTCAGTCTTGAAGAAGAATCTGCATTGTTGTGTTTGTATATAGAGTATTGCAGTGCATGAATTAGCTTTATGCATTTTATTAAATGCTGTTTCATGTGGCATTATTGTTGTGGCTTAATACTACTACCTACATGAGGTTTCTACTATTAAAAGTGAATTAAAGACGAGTGTGCATGCTGCTGCTCATTTCCCCTCACCAGTGACAGCAGTGCAGCCCGCCTGCACCGACCCAGCAGGGAGCCTTTGCCAGGGCCTGTCAGTACCTTTAGTGGAAAGCCGGCAGATCCACGTCCACCTAGCAGGGCCGCTCCTCGGTGGACACGTCCTGGAGTCACGGGAACGATTCCAGAGAACGGGGCTAGAGTTTCCTTCTAAAACTGCCACCTCACACTCGGAGCTGAGCACGAGGGCAGACCCGTCCCGTGAGGATGTCTGCGCCCCGAGGTAAGGTGTCAGAGGTCAGAAAGCACACCAACACGTCCCCTGACCACTCCTCTACAGGCGAGCGTGTCAAGGTCCGGTCAGCCCATTGACAACTGGACAGACCTAAGTGCACTGCCCCGTGGCCTTCAGAACAAAGTTGCGACTATCTGGCAAACATTGCTTGTGTGAATCAGCATTGATCATAAAAATCCACTTAGCGATTTTCTCCCTTTTCTGTCAACCATGAGCCCACCTTTGATCACTGCTAAACCAAAAAGGCAGAGACAACCACTTAAAGAGACTGTCTCCTAGTGGCCTTTATGTCCCTGAGGGTCCCTGGCTGCCTGTCCATTGGCAGTGCCATACCACCAGTCACTGGGCTTCTCTCTCCAAAGGGATCGCTACTTAGATTCGGGGCAGTCCTGGTGAGCCACAGAGGTGTGGGGGACATGGACAGCAGGGAGCCAGAATACTCCTGCGAGGCTGTCTCCAGGCTGTGGAAGCAGATGGAGCCCCGCCTGCTCCTGAACCTGGGCAGGGACACTAGAGAGATGTTGACAGAGGAGAATGGATGAGACCTTGCTACCCAGCCTCCAAGAGGTGCCAGGGTGTTGAATTCCAGCTGAACACAACCCTAACTTACCTCATCCAAGGACACCTGCTCACTGCACATTACCTGCAGAAACACATCATAAGTTAAACACCTTATTTCTCCAGCATTCACATAAAACACCTCCTAGCTCTAGCTCACCTCAGTCTACCTGAGGCAGGGCTGTCTGTCTTGCCACCTCAGAGTACTTTGGGCCTCATCAGCAGAGCAAATCTGCTCACCTGTCCTAAACCCTCAAAAGCCTCCCATAGAAGTCTCCCTCTCTGGCCACTGCTGCTGCTTCACATGTGACCCTAGAAGTAGGGTGTCCCCGGAGCACTGAAACCAGGATGACTAAAGTGACAGCGGGCCAGTGTCCTGTGAGAGCTACTGTGGCAGTGCTGCACATGGTCCCTCAAACTTCCATGAGGAAAGGGAGGAACAAGGCCAACTGTGATGCTGCCAGCGTCGGCCCTCAAGGGAGCCCAGAAATCTCCCACCCGTCCGTGCCTTCTCTCCGCCAGTCTGAGAGGAAGCAGGCCCACCGGCTCCTGTGTGGACACAGCGTGGCCAGGGCCCCGGCAGGGCGGTTGGCTTTCGCTTCGAAGGTGAGCACTACGCAAAGGCTTACCTTGGGGTTTGGAGAAATATCCAAAGAGCTTGATCAGGAGGGACGTCCTCAATGCCAGCAGGACGGCTCAGCGGACCCGACCACGGCAGCTCTCAACTGCTCCAGAGTGGGGTCTGGAAGAAGATGCAAAGCCAGTGGAGCCCAGGGGAGGCCCACCAGCTGTGGCCTCCACCTTCCCCAGCCCATGTCCCACACAGGCTGCCTCCTTGTGCCTGTTAGAAGGGACACACACCACGTGACCAGGTAATTAAAAAGCATTTTATTTTATTGGATGGAGCAACAACATTCAGTGAGCAGAATTCCCTCCTCAGCGCCCTTCCCATCCTTTACACGGGTAGGTGAACGGGCCCTTCGCACGGTGACCATTTTCCAAGCGAGCCTGTGAGCAGGGCGGCAGGCCCCCTGCGGGACTTAGTCCTGGGCACTGGCCTTCAGTGAGGCTTGGTACTTCCCTGTCATCTCCTTGGGTAACGGCAGCCGTCCCGGGCAGGGCACCTGCCCCTCCACCTCGCACATGCACTCCCGCAGGCAGTACTTTCGGGGGCCAAAGTTGCCTGGGTGAGACAGTCGCTTTTTCTCCAGCTCCTCTCTGTGGAGGGTCTCCCTGCCAGAGAGCACAGAGGCGGTCAGGTGTGGCCGGACTTCGGCCCCCAGCCCAGGCTGCCCTGCTGGCCTTCAGGGAAGGAGGGGGTGTGAGCCCCCAGGCCGCCTCTGCGGTCGTACAGAGTGGTGCCAGGCGAGCTGCCCAAGGAGGCAAATGGCTGCGTGGGCAGGGGCGGGGCAGGCAGCGAGGAGAGGCTCGCAGGCACGTGCGGTCACGGCCTCTGCAACACCCCTCCCCGCATGCCCTGTCCTCTCCCACTTGGTCAGCCCAACAACTCACTCATTCTTCCCCAGGATTTTCCTGATGTGCTCCACGATCTCCTTATTGCTCTTGGTCTCCACGTCCACCAGGACCTGCTCCCCCGTATCTGGAAAAGGAAGGAGAGGGGAGAGGGAGCTGAGCGCTTGGTGCACGGCTCAGCCCCACACACCCTGGCGGGAGCCACGTGGCGCTGGTCCTCCGGCAACCCTGCCCTTCCACTCTCCGCCCCTCGCTGTCGGCAGACACGTCGGGCAGGCACAGAGTGGGCCAGCTGTCATGGATCAGAAGATTCACTGTTGCTAAGACGGCAGTTCTCATCTGACAGGCGGGTTTCCCGCAGTCTCTGGCAAAATCCCAGCAAGCGTTTTTGTGGAAACTGACAAAGTGAACCTAAAATTCGTGCAAGTGAGCCAAAAGACCAAGACAGCTTTAAAAAAGGGAAGCGCCTGAGGCTCAGAGGCGTAAACACCTATAAACCTTTCGGAGGGCACAGGCTCTTCAAAACCTGGCCTACGCAGATTTCTAGGTGCAAACCATGAGGAAACGCGGTAAAGCTGAGCTTTGCCGACCATCAAAACTCGCATGCTGTTAATCTCCCCAGGAGCGAGAACGCCCCACGCTCAGCCCTGGCAAGGCGTTGCAGCACCCGCACAATGCCACGGAAACAGGTTCTGCCCCACCCCTGCCACCTCAGCACCCTGGGTGTTGATTGAGGACCCCTAGTTTTTGTAATTTTACTTTCTGAATAACCAACTGCTATGAAGATGTCCATTATTTCTTTTTATCACCCAGACCTGTTTTACTACAAATAATCTGGCAACAGCTGCATCTCATCTTCCCTCCCGGCCAGACAGCACCCAGGGTGGGTGGGCACAGCCCGCCGCCGCCACTCTGAGCACTGCCACACGTTACTGCTGGCGGCTCCAGACACGTAAGGCAAAGGAACGACAAGAAAGGCGGCGGGAATAAGCACAAGGCAGCCGGTATCACCGGTCCCTGGAAACGCAGACGAGAGCGACGAGCTGCCAGGCGGCTGCCAGGCGGCTGAGGGTTTCACGCAGTGACAGCAAGTCTGGGGAGGGCGCAAGCAACCCCAGCAGACTACATTGGGGGGAGTGTAAAGTGTAACAGTTACTTTGGCCAGTGAGTGAAGAAGGGAAAAGCAAAGGAAAAGACTGAAAAGGGAGTAAAACATCTTGCCTTGCGGCTGATGTGATTATACGGAGAAAATCCCAAGGAAAAACTAGGAACGTGTGACTTTCTGACGGCGGCATGACGGCGGCAACAATGAATCAGTACACGACAATCAACTGCGCTTCTAGAACGAGTGCTGTTACTCAGACAACTGGGAAATAAGCTTTCAAAATACCATTTACAACAGTCACAGAACATACTACTATTAAAATGTCCATTCTCTTCAAAATGATCTACAGTGTGATAGCCCCAGTCAAAATCCCAGCAACCTTTTTTCTAGAAACTGACCAGCTGATTTTAAAGTTACATGGAAAAATGCTTGGGGCTGTCTCGCCACTGCCCCACTACCCCCGAGTCCGACCCCTGGCAGGGAGCGACCCACAGGGCGCAGCAGACCTCCTGGCTCCCTGCTTCCCTCAGCCGTGCATTTCAGTCCACTCCCCGCAGTCCTTGGCAAGTCCTCTCACCCCCTGCACCTCTGGCCTGTACCCCAGTTCTTATATGCATAAAAATAAGTATCATTTAAAAATAGACAAGACTGGGGCCCTCCCTGGTGGCGCAGCGGGTTAAAGCACTGCACTACAAAGCTTAAGCCACTTCCTCATGAGTTCGATTCCCGCCTGCCCCTGAGGAGTCCACATGGCG